TTGATCATCGCACAAATGGAATTATAACACCCGATTATTAAGTCTAGTGGGGCCATATAACCTTGTAGTATTTCGGAGACTATACATATCGTCGTGGTATAAGAATTACATATTATACTTGACGTATTTTTGTACAACTAAGTGTTTTCTAGATTTTGTTTCTCAGGCAAAAGTTTGCTTATTTCTTAGCAAAGATATCGACTTTTAGTTAAAACCAAATTTAATGAACTGCTGTGTAGTAAATAAAAAAAGGAAGATTTAAAACTGTTTCTTAACTTAGTGGAATTAAAACTGTTAAAAGTGAAGGATATATAAGTATTTACCTTTTTTTAATGTGTTTGTAACAGCTATATTAATTGATATACCTAAACATTTTTTTTTTAAATCAAAGTATGTATGAGTAATTAATGAGTATACTTACTACACTCATTAATTTGTTAAAAAAATCCTGTTGGATCTTAAAAAGGGGATGGTGGACCAGCAGAAGGGTTACTGTCTTAAGACTTTTTACTCTGCTTTCATATATGTATTAGTCAACTTTTCATTAAGGATCCATATATCTGTTAATAACTAACTTTTACCAGAGGAATAAGATTTGGAACACCTCATATATTCGAGTTAATAAGCAGTTTTAATTTTGTGATTTAAGTAGGTATGAGTAAGATCAATACCAGATTTATCAAGACACCGCAAAATGAAAGTGTTTAGTAAAAAAAATATATCCAAACTTTGACATAAAACTACAAAGGTAAAAAGGAAAACTATCTTTAATGAAAAATTTTCTACCTGATTCTCAAACGCCAAAAAAGTATCGCAATTAATTCAAAAATACTGTTTACCTTTAAAAATAATGTCTCTCTTTGACCTTTTATGAAAAGAGAAAAGATATATTTAACGGCACTGGTAGACATAAAATATCATTTTGATTCTTTTTATTGTATCTGTCTTTTAATTTTCTTTCAATGGATAGATAGTGTGGTCGTTCCTTCCTAACAATAAATTCTTCTTCAGATCTGCATTAGATTAAATGCCTCTCTCCCCTTGCCATTATCATTCGAGTGGTGTTCCACCGACCCAAATAAAGCAGCTGACCACCCGTTCGGTTATTCCCTTGCACGAAATGTCAGATTTGTACGTCGAAGCGTCGAAAGCATGAATTTGGAAATATGTTTGTGAACCTGCGTTCCAGAGAGTGAAAAACGATCCGGTTCAAACCTATTCATCGTAGACGAAAAAACGCTGAATAAAATAGCTACAACATAAACACCGGTAGCAATATTAAATTAGCATTTTACAGGATTTATGGAGCAAAAACAAAATAAAAAGCGAATGCGTTGCGAATGCATCAAGGAAACAATTATTGAAATTTATCGTTTCTGAAAGTTTGGAAAAAAATCTTTCTGGAAGGATATGCACATTGACATAGTTGATATGCATAAAAATGCGTTTGTTGGATGCATTTTTTCGCGATCGGAGAAACGAGTCGAAACGTCATTAAGGAAATTTTTTCGCGTCATGTGCATTGTTCGCGGCCCGAGATTTTCTTAAATACATAAATTTATTCCTTTACCATGTTATCTCTTTTCCTGTTACATTGCCTTAACTGAAAATTGCGCCATAAATAAGCCGCAGAGAAAGCTTTTACATTTGTAATGAATTAATTTTTTTGCCTTGCATAATGAACGCAAGATGACACAAGCTGCGACATCGCGTGTCCTCTGACCAATATCCGTTCGGCTATAAATAAAATAGCTAATGGACAAATTTACCTGCAGGGGTGTGTAAAAAAGCCCCGACCAAATTAAAATCTGTGTTTAATTAAAACCTACAGTTTCTATAGCCGTGATCGATACAAAAGACATTTAAACACGCGCCCTGCGAAGTGTCGACTGAACTGCCATCTAGCATGCCACGCTCATGGCACACTAGACCCGAACAATAAAAATACATCACTCGCCAAACACACCTGACAAATGAAACACTGCATCTTTGATTTATAAGCTCGTAAATTTCCGCCATATATTAAAGGTGTACACACGAAAATATTAAAACGAATGTATTTTTAGTTACGTGATAATATTAAATAACTCTTCCGGAACACTGGCTTTGGAGACAACTTCAATTCATTTTAATTATGCGCACTTTCAACAACTTCACTCGGATTTTCGGACGCGCGGTGTATACCTCCGACAGGACCGTACTCGGAGAAAGAGGCCCGTCGTAACGACTATAAAAATTGATTAATCAAAAGTGCAAAATTTTTCTGCGGCGTTGCCTCGTTTGATGGGTCCTAAGCAATTTTTTTTCCACGAATCAAGACTGACCACCCAGCCTTTCAATGGCAACACACGTCACATCCATCATGTTCACACACACGCATTTTCCTCTTTCGATTTTTATTTATTAGACTCCTCTTTGCCCAAACGCCGACTGTTACGAAATAGACAATGAACGTGAATTATGTTGTGAACAACTTCTAATTAATTATTAGAGTACGTATAGCCAGTCCGAACACCTCGGGGGGTGCACTACACGATCGTAAAAACTATGGAAACTACCCTACAACTTCTTCAACAAAGAAATTGAAAGAAGAAAAAAAAGTGCCAGCCCGTCTCGGAAGTTGATTTATATATTCATTTATTAATATGTATGTGCTTAATAATTACCCAAAATAACAAGAACCAAATTACACACATAATTACTGTAAGCTAATTCATAAGCAATAATCAGCGCTATAATAATTAATTTTAGACCAGATCGACCGCAAGTACTAAAACTTTAATCACCATTAGTCAGCCTGGAAGTAATTTATCTACTACAACAAAATAAGCCAATAAATCAAAAATTGAACAAAAAATCGTTCCACTTAAATCATTCTCCGATTTTTGCCCTCGTACGTTTCTAAGTAATTATGTAACATCGAAATATTCCTTCTACCTTCAATACATCGAGGCGTCAGCATAATAATTTCGTCGACAAATGGGCTTGGCATTGACCTTGGCTTAAAATTTCTTTCTTGCACTTCGTTATTTCGTACACAGATCAGCTATTTGTTCGAAATAAAAGCATCGCGTGATGGTTTTTCTTCCTTATGGGATGGCAGGAACTCGCATTTGTGTGACCATTATCTAATGGTAATTAAATGGGCTAATTGTGTCGCATTACTTAAAATTGTTGTTTAATTGAAAGGGGGAATCAATATGAAATGTGATACAAACAACCTGAAAGTTTATATACTTTCAAGAAGGAAATTATTATTCCGAGATTGTTTGCGGTGTTGCTGGAACTACACAATGCAATCATTTTTCGGCAGGATGGCACTGCTTTATGCGTGCCATATATTGCTTATTAAGTGTTATAGCTCTATTAAAGACATTTTAGTTCCTATATACAGAGTGTTTCACATCAGAACCATTTCTTGTTCTCTTTAATAGCAGAAAAACAGTTTGGTCGTCCGGCGCCAGCTTGAGGATATTTGTGTCGATCAAACCCTTTGTTTAATCAGAAATATTTTACAATAGTGTCAGATAGTTCGCTTGTTAAGATAAGTAACTGATGATTTTTCGATATACTTACTGTAATAAGACTTTTTAAATGTAGCAAATTAACATTAAAAAGTCAATTTATTGGAAAAAAATGTCCAAATAAAATGCTTTAAAATATATACAATGTTTCGAATTTCATCCTTGTATAGAAAATTTGGAACGGTGTAATTATTACGTGAAGCACTAATAATTTTAATCAAATTACTACCCAGCCCCATTAAAAACATGAGTTACTGACGGAAATTTTATCAGATTCATCAGGCAGAAAATAAGAAGATAAAAACCACAACATCATTCCCATTGTAAATATTAAAACCTCAACAACAGGAAAAAATATTAATTACTTTCAATTACGAACGTCTTTCAATAAACGTGCAGCGATTATTACTCCGGCACTCTTTACCACTATAACTGTTATTATATCAAATTACCCGAAGATTAATTACTTACAATAAATTAAACGTTACTACACACCATACATCAGCGGTGTAATCATAACGGACGAATCAAATTATTTTAAGTGGCCAAATTTAATTTTAATTTTATTTAATTAATTCACGGCTTTATTTAATCCCGAAGCGTAAATCCTGTACCCACCCATCACCTTGTCGTTAATTACATCAGTCCTACCATTTACGAATGCATAAATAATTTTTTAGAGGTGCGTATTAAATTTGCGCGCGCTCGAGAACAGAATCGAATAGTTGGCGGGCGTCGACAGCAGCGCCAGCGGGAATTACTCGCAACTGAAACAGAATTGACCGTTGCTGCCATCTGTGACAAACGCTCTCAACTAGCAACTATGTGGTGGGGGAATCATGTGCTTCTGGAACGTGGTGGGGACTCTCGGGAGGTGAATACACAAAGGGGCGTTTAACAGCGTGTGGATAATAAACGAAGTAAACAAACAATTGACGGCGTGACTGAAAAAAGACGATCGGCCGGCTTGATTTTGATGCCTGTTCAATTTAGAACGATTGCGCACAAATGGTTTTTTTAATAAACGTGTTGACACTTTTATTTATGCATTAACGATAGACTAGTGCGTATCTAGTGGTAGAGTTTGATGACATATTGTATTTTTTATTTACATATTTATTTTTCGAATCAACTCGTGTGTATGTAACGAGAAACTGCATTTTTGTTTAAGCGGAGGGTTAGCGAATGCATTTGCAAATCGCATAAATCCGTGGAGGATTTGGCGTAATTGATTGCATCAGATATGCTAATGGCGCATAATTTTTATCGCTGCTCATCGATTTAGAGGTGTATTCAGCAAATAAATAAGTACGGAGTTAAATATTTTTGTGAATAATCATGGCATCCGATCTCGCTTATAAATCATTTGTCATATCTAACACGAGCCAGGTAGGTGTTTTGCCAATATGGCACGCGGTGTTCTAAGGAAAAGTCATCCTTATGGGTACCTTACCCTCGATGGGTTTTTGTTTGCACCTGAGCGATTTTTCATGGTAGGCTCCTTACGCCGAACACCCTCTTGGAGCGTGCGATAAATCAGGAGGAGGGACAACCCTCGGTGCAATATGTCAGTGGTTGGCACCCGGAGTGATACAAAGTGGGTGGTAATATGGCCGATCTGTAAAAAAGAAAACACACGAATTGTAGAATTATTGTTCATAAATTTGCTTAAATTCTGGGTTCGGGCAAAGATTAGCAGAGACATGGCTTTTAGCCGTTTTTACATGCGCCACTAATTGAGTACACGGCGAATAAGAAAAAAAGCGCTTTTGTTTTGGTACATGAAGTCATTTGCATTTTAATTAATAACTTGGATGAGTTATAGCTTGCACTCATTTCATATTGCTCGTTTTTGACATGTTTTTGCCCGGCTGTAATCGAATGTTTACAGAATTTTATTTAGTTTTAATGAATTATATAATTGGGAAATTAAGCGTTTCGTCTAGCTTATCGCTCTACTTAAGCAGCTATTTTGATTGATTTCGTCAATAATGACTTACTTAAGGAAAGGTTATCACCGATACATTTTATTATCAAAATACCACAACAAAACGAACGTTATTTATGAGGTTACAACCCACGTTGATGTATGTTTGTATTGAAATAAAATATTGAGAATTTGTGTAGGTGTTGTGCGATTTTTCTTCTGTTAACATTTTCCCTTTAGTCTTGATAGTATGCAAATGTAATTTTAAAGTCATCATTTAGACTTGCTGCAGGCTAATGGCGTTTTACCAAACCAACTGCATTAATGAACTCTTCTAGAGTCCAGACAGACATGTTTATACCCACACGAAGTTGCACGCGCTCCGGACCATATCGCTTATTTATTATTACAAGTACTTGTACAGAACGTGACCTAGACGATGGAAGAAATCACTAAATTATTGCATTTTAGTTACGCCTAGGTAGGAAAACGTTGGAAATTTACTTACGGTTATTATCTCCACCATCACATATTGAAGTTCTAGCTTTCTAACAGAAAAACTCATTTACGAGGAATAATTTGTGATTTTGCATACAACAGTGTTAATCAGTTTCACTATCATACCTTAACTTACAACATAAGGAAATATATCATAGTAGTTTACTTCTTTTTCTTAAAATTTGTCCCACTAAATAGCGTACATTTCTTCCCCGTAATAACAATACCGTTACCACACTTATCACTTATACTTCAGTTACTTAAAACGAAAGAAATTATTATGTATAGATAGATAAATTCTCCCAAAAAATCATTCAAGTTTCAAATAAAATAATCACTCCACAGTAAATGACGATAAATTTTGGGTTACGACCTGTATAACTTCACTAGCTCACAATAAATAGTTTACTATAAAAAATAACATTTGCAGGTTGGAGAGGTTTACTGTTAAGTAAATACATGTGATAGTCGATTTGAATTTAAAATTGACTTTAAATTTATCAAAAGCTTTCGTGGAATGATACGTAGAAATGAAGTAAAAACGTTCTCCATCGGTTCAATTTCTAATATTTACAATTTTACAGGACGTAGTAAACAAATTTTATTTGAAAAATAAAATTAATAACAATATTGTAATAATAACCGTCAATAACTGTTGCCCAACGAAATTGAGTAATAAATTAGTCATTATTTACAAAAAAAATATATACAATGAACGACAATCTACACAAAATATCTAAAGGAACATCATAACTTTGATCGTCGCAATCTGATATTGTTGGAGTAAAGAAAACTTTCTTCGTTATTAAACGACGTTGGCGATTTTTCACTATATTTTTTTAAGTACAGGGAGGTTTATTCTTACTAAGTAATATTAATGAGTACAATTTGACACAATCGGTTTATTTTCTAAAAGTGTACCTACATTGTGAATGTTGATGATGTTTTCATTTATAATTAATTTTACGTGTAATTTTTTGTCATTTCCGGCATTTGCCACAGGATCTCAACTTAGATTTTTTTTACAAATGACATTGCTGCTAGTTTTGAACGTTTAGTGGTATTGAAGGAAGTTTCAGTGGAAAAATGACAAATTTTTCCAGTAAATTCGGTTTAAAAAACGTTTTTGACAATCAGTGAATAAATAAATAATTCCCTTAGATGTAGAACTCTTTTAGAGCTTAATCTGTTTTAGAAAATAAAATTTAAAAAAGTGCCCATTCATCCGATGGACTCGATTATTATTATTATACTTCCTTAGCGTACGCTCAGGAAATAAAAATCGCTAGAGACAACTGGGTGATCCATCTTTTTTTATCGCACTAGTGTTTAAAGCTCATTCTATTTGTAACTTCATAATACCTATGTGAAAGTCGCTTATTTAATGTTTGGTTATTTTTATATAACCCTGAACATCGATTCCTAGCCTATAATTTCTCAAGCACATTTTGTAATGCAGTAATGGTGTGACATCACTTAGACTTCTGATGTCAAACGTTGAAGAAAAAAAAAATGTCCAATATTATCACTAGGACTGTTTAATAAAATTGTTCACACCTCCACCAATTGTCCCGCTGATGCATGTTGGATTAACAGTTGTGTACCGTGAGGATAAACTGCTACCTACATTATAACTTGGTTAGAAACAACCTGGAAAAACCGCAGTGATTGCAGATTTGTCGTTAATTATAGTTAAACAAACATCATACATTAAGTACCTGTTTACATTTGCGGTTTTGAAAATACATATTACTGTTCCTCTGTAATTTACAACATTGTAAATGTGCAATTTGTATACACTGCGGCAATAGTCAAACGTGCAACCGCAAACCGAAGTAAGTTTTTATATCTATCATCACGAAAATCCTAAGCTACAAGGTACGTAAAACAGAAGAATTAAAATCACATCGTTATTTATAACATTTTTGTCCAGACAATATACTGCATGCAGTACTTTCCTGCTCACTCAGTCGTAGCGTAGTACTGTTACCATGCATCTGTTAATAAATTATTGCCTGTCTTTATCCGCGATTTTATACAACTTTCGATTAACACCACACACGATCACTTCCTCTTTTTTGAAATGAATGTAAGTACCATTAAATACTGTTAACCTACTGGTACATTTCTAATAGCTACTTCTAAACCATAAAACGGATGCGGTTTTCACAAAACGTCCCATCACAGAATAAAATCGCACTTTATGATCGGCATTCAACGTTAATTTCTCCAAGTGGCTTGTAACGACACGGTTTAAAATACCAGCGGATGCAAAAATGAATTTGCAACGTTATTACTTAAATAACGAGGTTGTACGACGTAATGCGCTTCGTTATTGGGCTAATCGGATAGTTGTTTATTCTAATGGGTTTCACACAGAGGAAAATTATGGATGTAAATCCGAAAATAAACACGTGTTTCGCTCTTGTCATGAGTAGAATTTGAATAATATGACCAAACGGACAAACTACCTCTAAAGCTTTAGTGGAAGCGTAAAACATATCCCAACAGACACAACATTCCGGTTATGCATCATAAACATTCGAAATATTTATAGAAAAACCAGTGGGAGTGAGGTCTATTTTCAAGTTTTCGGCGAATTTATTGTAGACGAAGGAAAGTGAATGAGAACCGCTATCTCTTGTTATCGAGACGAAAGACCCGATGACGCACTTTTTTAATCCGAATCGAAAGTATGGAAACAAATTGGCTGTCGGTTCATTATCTCAAAGTTCCGCGATCTGCCTCGTAAGTACGAGATAAATAAAATATGCGATAAATCGTCTGGCAAACTAGACATATTTTTGCCGAGATCAGCAGCACACAACCGGATTAATATAAGTTTTTGTAAGTTTTGCTGTATTCCTCGTCCTTCTGCCTCCGTATAATACGTAAAGTAAGACGAAAACAACAGGCTATCTTTTCAGATAGCAGCACGCCATACAATCGAGTTGATTAAATAAGCTCGTTGAATTCAATCTCAACCCAAGCAATCTATCCAATTTTCTACTAGTCTTATCTTTTCAACCCTCCCTTATGATGTTAGCCAATCAGGGGTCATATATAAGTCACGTGAACGACCTTTTGTACTAGATTTATTCAAATAGTTGTAAATTAGGTAAAAGTCGTCCTGTTTATATTTAGATGTGAGGGTGTGTTATAAATAAATTTCTAATAAGACTCTTCTACAGCTGCGTGCAGTAAACAACAATAATTATGAACCAAGGTGGAAAAAGGGTACCGTGGACGCCAGAGACGTACTTGAACATTTTTAATTTCATTTCCAAAAGTCTCTTTGTCTCCACACTGTAAAATATACCTACACTTCCAATGCATATTTATATGTACGTATATGTTTAATGCATTTAATTGGAGTGAAAGTACAACATGTCAAAAATTAAAGAATTAATTTCATTTCAAAAATGACATTTTAAAATGAACTGGACAGTTGGTTAATGTAATACTGTCTTCTTTTCTATGTACCTACTGTACACATTTTAAATTATATTTGTATTCCCGAAATAGCTGTTTACACGATATTGCGAGTGGTACATCACTAATCAATTAATCATCATTGCAATTGTTGACCTGACGCATTTAATAAATTAAACTATCCCGAGAGGGTTTACGATAAAAGTTCATAAGAGCCCTGAATATAACAATGGTGATATAATATAAACCCGAGTAACAATATATGGACTAGTATTTTATTACTTTGTTTATTTGACGGTGCCGTCTGAGGTATATGTTTTAATTTGCGGAAGCGTTGCTTCATCACGAATTGAAATTCAAGTTGAATCGTCATTTAAAAGTGCATGGTGTTTTTTAATAAAATAAAAAATTTCATCAGTTTTTGGTGTAAAATAGACAAAATCAAAATTAACTCTGGAAGTGGAAATGTAACAGATATAATGGCGCAAATTTCTTCTTCTGGGCTGGCTCAAGTCCGGCCCTCGCAGCACCCACCAGTGAAACGTGTCGATTACGAGCGAACGATTTACATAATTAACAGTTGCAATTTATGCATACATGCCTCTAATTTAATTATTCATAATTCGCATGCTTTTCCGAACTCACATTCCCACGTTTTGTGCAGAAGCAAAGGTGAGGGGTCGTTTGCATTAAATGCCACCCTGTCTGCTGTCACTTAGCATTAACTGGCGGAATTCGCAGGATAATGTCACAGGATTTGG